ACACTGAGACAATGGGGATGTTCTATCGGAAACTCACCAAGGCCAGCTGGCCTGGGTCTGAAAAAGCCTGGGTTAAAACAGGTCTCACTCAACATAGCGGACAATGAGGGCTACTGAGACCTCAAGAACAATGGCAATGGGTTTTTGAGCCTACTGCAGGTATTGGCTTTGTGGGAGCCTAGGCAGTGTGGATGCTCACCTTACAAGACCTGGATGGAGGAGGGTGGTCCTTGGACTTCCCACAGGGCAGAGAACCCTGATTGCTCTTTGGGCTGACAAGTGAGGGGGACTTGATTGGGGGAGGGGGAGGGAAAGGGAAGGCGGCGGTGGGGAAGAGACAGAAATCTTTAATAAATTAAAAAAAAATACCTGACAGTAATTAAAAAAAACAAAAACAAAAAAGAATAGATAGTTATAATTTTTCTTAGTTATGCTAAAAGATCAAGTAGATATAAATATTGTAACTATAATTCTTGTTTGATAACTGTTTTGTTTGTAATCTTGCTGTGTTAAAGTTAAAGCCTTCCATTTTATTTGAACATAAAAGGGGAAATGGTGTGGGAAGAACTTCTGTATATTTGTTGTTTTTATTGGTTAATGAATAAATCTGTTTTGGTCAGTGGCTTAGCCAAATAGGGCAAGGTGGGAATTCCAAGCAGAGAGAAGAGGAAAGCAGGTGGAGTCAGGGAGAAGCCATGTAGCCACCACAGGAGACAAATGCCTCTAGTGTAACCCACCAAAACTCTGCCGGTAGGCCACGACCTCATGGTGATGGGTTAGTTTAGGACATAAGAGCTACCTAAAAAAATACGCTTAAGCTATTGGCCAAACAATATTGCAAATAATATAGTTTCTGTATGATTATTCTGGGTCTGAGCAGTGGGGGATGAAAAAGCACCCTCCAGCAACAAGCAGCCAAGGCAGAAATGATCTTATAACCTGAGATCCTGGATAGATTTGAGAGTGACAGAGAAGAGGAAAAAGTTATAAACTTGGAAGAGGGTTGAAGATCTTGTAGCTTTGGAGGTCTGAGAGACCAAGTCAGGAAGAGATAGGGGAGGACCCCCTTTAGCTCCTGAGATATGGAAGTCAATGTGAGAAGTCCAGAATTATTCCAGGAGGATGTAAGAAATGGTCCCCTGGAACCTTTGCCCCTGGTGAGTACTCAGCCTCAGGATCCCAGGAACACGAGCACTTCTACTCTCCTTCTGGTCTTAAGGTTAAGGAGGCTGAGGCTTTAGGATAACATTTAGTGCTAGGAGCAGGGGAGGTGGTTGTAGGGCCCTGGTCTCCCTTATTCGTGGGGACAGTTTATGATCAGCTAACTAAGCTTCCTGTGTGTTTCTGTGCTCTTCCTGCCCCCCCCCCCCCGTGGTTAGCTGCACGGCATTTACTCCATTGTTAATATGGTAATTTCCCACCTGCCTGGGCGGAGATCCTTGTGCAGGAGTTAGCTACTTAAGGTTTTCCCCAAGTCTAAATAAATGGCATTCGGCTGATCTTCTTTCGAATGACCCTGGTCTGTGTCTTCTTTTCAATCTCCAGGCTCTTGCTCGACTCGCGTTCGGTACAGGGGCGTGCGAACTGTACCAAGGGTGTAACACAAAATCGGGTGTTACAGGTGGTAATGGGCAGAGCATAGAAACTGACAACCCACATTGCCAAGAAATGAGTGTGACTTCAGAAAAGGGGATGCTGCAGAATGATATGGGAGGATACGGGGTGGGATGGAACAGGCCAGGACCAGAGGCCAGGCCCAAGCAGAGTCACGTAGGGTGATTATAGGCCACGCAGTGTACTGCATAGCAGATTTAGCTTTTACTCAGATAAAAAGGGTTTATATGCCACACAGTGCTTCCCAGAGTTGAGGTGGTGAGGATGGCTCCCACTCAGCAGTCTCAGAGGCAGTGAACATGCTTCAGAAGCGCTGTAAGGCAAGTTGTGAGTGCAGCATCCCAGAGAAGCCTGCATAGGCTGCATGCAGCTTGTTATTAAAAAACGATTCCCGCCGGTGTGTAGGCGGAGCCCGCCATGAGAAAGCTGATACAAACGATCCCCCCGGGCGGGCTGGCGGAGCCCGCCTTGAGAAAGCGGCTACAGGAGGGCAAGCTTCCTTGGCCCATGGTGGCGGCAGGTAACAGACACGTAAACACAGGAAATAGCCATAAGTATTTATTAAGGAAGAGGGAGAAAGAAAGACAGAGAAAAGAGATAAAAGGAGAGAGGAGAGATAGAAGAGAGAGACAGAGAAAACGCGTGCGCACGGCAGGGAAGCAGAAAGAGAGGGAGGGTCCCAAGATGGCGATGGGCGGGTCAGAGGTTATGGGAGTGGGAGTGGCTAGGGCAGGGACCAAAGAATAACACAGCTCCTGGCCTCTACTCCTCACCCAGAGCCTCAACCTGAGCTCTCATTGTCCCTATCGAGTGGGCCATAGAGTCTGTTACTGTAACCAGAGTCTCAACCACAGACCACAGTGTCCCAGGTTCTGTGTGAAACTTGCTGTCTACAGTTGTTGCCCGACTTCCTGTTTCTGCCTGCCTTCCACCCTGGTCAGGATGTGCTCGCTCCATCCTTGTTTGTACCTGGCCAGCTGTATGCTTCCTCTCCCTGCCATGCCTGCTGCCACTGCTGCAGCTCTCTTTTAGACCTCTGCAAACCCTATTATATTGGGGTAAAATGATCCAGATTGGGGTTGCACAGATATCTCA